TCCCTCGTTCAGAGTTTTATCTTGTGTAACAGAGTTTTGTAACCCTACTGTCAAACTTCTACCTTGTCGTCCCCAATCCTGACAGAGTCATATTTTTCCTCTTTCGTGCAAGTGTAGAACCCAGGTCAGCAGGCCTCTGACCGGGGCAAGAGTAAGAAAATTCTTATTTTGATACACGTAGTTTGAGACTACCAGACGTCACGTAAAACACTTTGGACTACTCTAGGTTCACGATGCCTTGCCGACTTCTAATTTTTGGCACCAGTCTATGATTGGGTTCGCACCCTGGTTTACAGGATTAGAGACAAATATGGATTTTGTGAAAAGAACTTTCGGAATAGCACCAAGTTGTTAGTTTTGGTATAGTTACAAACCATATTAAGGTTTATAAAAGTGTGGGGAATAACGACTACCATATTACAAATTACATTTTTACAAATTTATATACGTACGTTGTGTCCTTATATAAGGTAATAATCTTTAATCAAATAATATGATGTATGACGCGATGGTGAAACCCAAAAATGAATTTCTCGGTGAAAGGTACCAATTTCCTTGTGGACACTTTATTTACACATCCTTTTACTACTTATGTGATCTAAAAGTTTTTTTTATATGTCTTTATATGTGATGTCACCGTAGACCGCAGCAAAAACAATCTTTTACAAAGTGGAAGGCGTATTTTTTCAGAGCCGTGCACTGGAGGGCGCACACTGCATTTGTGCCCCCTTTGTTCCCCCTCTCGCCGGCCACATTGCATAATTTATTTGTACCTAGGGTTACGATCAAGCTGTGTCTTCTGTGTCTTCTTCAAGTTGTACTTATAAGCTTACGTATACTGCCCTGGTGTTGGAATAGTAATACTCGGACGATCCGCAGGTTCTCTGGTCCTCGGTCGGTTCCTAATCTTTCTTATTGCGGTAGCCTCTCTTTAACTCGACACCACTACTCCTCTTTGGTCACCTCTTGACCCGTCGATAGAACCACTCACTTCTACATTTTCTACTGACTTCAGTGTTTTTCTAATGAGGGCTGAAGGCCCTCCAGCTACTCCTACCCCTATTTTGTTTTTTTCTAATATTTGCAAGAACATTCTCTAGCTACTCCTACCCCTTTTAACCTACCACTTCTGTCCTTTCATGAAACCTCCTACACGCACAGACACACACCTCCCTACTCCTGCATACAGGCCTTGGCAGCTGGGCCCTCAACTTTCTTACACATGAAGTTACACTATTTGAGGAAGACACTGGGCTGACACTGTACCCCCCTTAACATTACACTTATTTTACTGAATACAAATTACACTTTATATTTTCTAAACATTTTACTCCAACCACTGCAGCCTATTTTAAATTCTGACTCTCTCCTTTGTGTCCCCTTGTTTTCAGGGGCACAGGCTTCGGCTTCTGCAATGCCATGTGTAAGCTGGCGGCGGTGCTGGGCAACCTGATCTTTGGCTCTCTGGTTGGCATCACCAAGGCGATCCCCATCCTGCTGGCCTCGTCTGTGCTGGTTGCCGGCGGGTTGGTGGGGCTCCGACTGCCAGACACACGGGCCAATGTCCTCATGTAAACCTCCACACAGGACAGAGTGTTGTTTGCCAGGTATTTACTCAGTTTACTGAATAACAATTCTTTAATGGACTGATTTATTTGAAGCTGCCATAATTTTTGTATTTATTATTTGCTGAAGAATGTTGACTGTGTTCTCAAACAGGACAAGGGTGTGTTATTATGTTATTTCTGAGTAAAAACCTGGTAAACAATAAAAGATAATGAGTTGCAGTTTGACTTCCCAATGAGCTGTAGATATAAAGAGTTTGGAGAAAACAATGAAAGGTTAGAAATGTACGAAGTGTACGTGGCTGGTTGCCAAAGCGCTGGGCATTCATGCAGAAATTAAAATGCTACTGCTCAGAAACAAGTAAGAATTGTCGGTGGTGATGAAACTCTGAATATCAGCAGCTCATTAGCTGTTTTCACACATGCAGCACACAAATATGTGTAAAAACTGCAAAAGGCTTGGACTTCCCACTACCTTCCACTTCAAAATCTCTATTAGATGTACTCAGATTAAAGGGATAGTTTGAGCTTTTGGGACCCATGATTATTCAAAGCTCACATTAGCAGCTGCTTAGCTTAATTTAAAGACAGGAAACACAGGGAATAGCTAACCTGTCCGATGGTAAAAAATCTGCCTATCACATTAAGCTCACTTATTTACCTTTTTTCATATCATCCTGTACCAAAAAAAAGTAGCTTGACCATTGGTCATTTTATGTGGTTAGGGGCCAGATTTCTTGGTCAGTAACTTTGCAGTGCTGTTGCTTTTCGAACAGATTTACCCACAAAATGCATAATTCTATTAGTGAGCTTCCGAAGTGCTGATAAGTATATTTTGTTACTTTAGTTTGAACAGAGCAAGGCTAGTTGTTCTCCTATGTTTCCAGTGTTAGTGCTAAGCTAACTAGCAGCTAGCGGTAGCATAATTACATTACAAACATTAGGAGTGCTTTCGCTCAATTGCATCCAACTCTGAGCAAGAATGCTAATAAGTGTGTAAAGTTCAGGTAAATGTCAAACTATTCCTTTAAGTAAAACAATATTTTTAACAAACATTTATGTGATCAGACTTGTTTTTATGTATATTTATATATTTAATAATTTATGATTGTTATTGCCAGTGTGCTTTTTCGAGTTGAAAGGCCAGACATTGAAGGTTCTTTTTTTCCTCTGTTATTACACCTGTGATTCCATATGATTGGCGACGTTCAAGCCTTTTGCTGCACATTTTAAGAATGACAAGGCCATAAGAAAAATATATAAATAAATAAAGTAGTTTAGTCAAAACCGGCAACTTCAACAGTTACATTTCTAAAGTGAAAAAAAGTTTACATTTTCTGCTTCGTAGAGCAAGAGACTTTTGGGATTTGAAACCTGTTTGTCTGAATGCTTCCTTTCTCCCTCTTTCGTGTCTGTGTCGTGTTTCGTCTCGTGGCGCCGAGCTCACCGCGAAGGGCTTTGCTCTCCGTTGCAATCCAATCTGTAAAAAAGGAATTTATACGCTGTTGAAATCTGCACTCCTCCCTGTTTTGGTTTATTGTCTCACTGTCCTGGTGTATCTTTCCCAGTCTTGCCCTCTTGCTTTGTTTAGCTCCTCCTGCCTTGCTGCTGCTCCCCCATACAACTCAAAGGCCTTTCTCAAATGTCGTGCCTCTTTCTCCATTGAGCCCGTCTCTTCTTCCAAACCTTTGCTGGAAGCTTTGCTGCTCTGTCCTGCTTTTTATCGGCTTTGCATCTCTTGATACTGCAGTGTTTATGAGTGTGTGTTTGAGTGTGTGTGCCAGACAAACCCTGATAAGATCAGTGAGCTTCTTTTTTGTTTTATTTTCTACACCAGGGAGTGTTTTTTGGAAGATTTTAACAAAATGATGAAGTGAAATTAAAAGCCATGCTTAAATGATCAGTTCACCCAAATTCCCCCAAAACATGCCATGCAAACACTTAATGTGGATCTCATCAAGACAGAGAAAGTCATTTGGATTTATCCTCTAGGGTCAATGAGTGTTTGTACAACATTTCATAATAATTCATCCAATGTTTCTTGAGATATCTCACTCAAAAGCAGAAATGTCAACCTCATAATTGAGCTAGAGTAAACGTCAGGGGATTAGAAAAGTCATTAGAATCCACCTTCTGGAGACCATTAATGTTTGTTCAACATTTCATGATAATTCATGTAATATTTGTCAAGATGTTGACCAACATTTCCCTTCCTTGAACAACACCTAGATGTACTTTTCTAAAAAACAGTGTCCCTACTCTAGAAAACCCACATACATATTTCCAGAGGGATTCTTTTATCTGTAAAAAGTAGATCCCATGAAAGGAGTGAGGTCCTTCAGATGAGCTCAGATGTTGTTTCTGGAAAGAGACACTGTTGAGATTTTCACCAAACAATATGTAACTCACCTTCATTTAAATGAAATGCTGGGAGAAACCTCAGAGACAGATATCCGGGAAAATACAACTACAACTAGATACTATCTCTGCTAAGTAAATACAAAAATATGTTTTTTTGTAATTTGGGTGAACAGACCCTTTAAAACCTCTAATGAATGGAACTTTTGCTGCTACAATGTTTAAAAAAGGAAAAAAGGTCATTTGTAAAATATAAAATGTTATCTTCTGGGTTTGCAAAATGTCAAATAACACAAAACTAAAGTACTGTTTATTCAGTTCTTTTTTGTTGCTTATATCATATTTCTTACTCTGGAAATGTGTGCGGTACATAGGCTCCTACATGCAGCATTTTCAGTTTTTTTCTTACTGAAATGCAATTGTTTTGAGATCTGGTTTCCTGATGTTTGATTCTTTATCTCCGTCCAACATCCCCCTCCACCTGTGCAGAAAAAACTCACTGTTTGCAAAAAGAAATCCTGCATGTTTGTTACTGAAGTCCTTCTGTTGTGTGTGCTTTTTCCATCTTGGTGTCTTCGCTGTTCCTCTGCGAGGGGAAACAGACATGCGATTCCCGGGTCAAAGGTGAATGTATCATTCTCGTGTGTCGTCAGGTTGGTTGTGGACAGGTGTTCATTATACTGAGTTGACTTCTATGTCATTGTGAAAGGGCATGCCAGTGTTGAGATGACTGTATGTACTACACGATGTTACCCATCAGGGGTGGTCAAATCTGCTTTTTGTTGTGAAGGTTTCCAGGCAGATTCATCATGAAGTCACTGAAGCAGGAATGACATTTCCAGAGTTATGACTTTCAGATTTTAAAACCTCTGCTGTCAAACAATATGTGAAGGTGTGTGTAAAAACAATAACCTGTCCTTGATATGATTTATTTTGTTAAGAAAAGGCTCAAGTGAATGCAGTGTAAAGGTGGATTCCTCTGGTGTCTACATATTGAATAAAGAGTTTCATTTGAATAGCTGTCGGGCATTCATTGTGCAAGAATAAATATGGCCTCATTCACTTACACCAGCAGATGGCGACATTTATACAACATTAACCATGTGCGCTTATGAGGTGCTTTCTATATGTCTTTAAAATACGCTAATTCAAAGATTTATTGGACAAAATAGCAGATTGATTTTTTTTCCAAATTGGTTGAACCTTTAGATTAACCCCTCAATTTCAATAAAAAAAAAAACATGAAGATAGCTTGTGCCTCTAAACTGAAATGTCCCAACATTTGCTGCATTCATTTTCTAGACAACATTTTTTTTTTTAACATATTGTTAAAAACTTAAAGGTCACATGTCATGCTTTTTTGGTTATTACCCGTCCCCTTGTGTGTTATGAAGGTTTTTCTGCATGTAAACGGTGTGCAGAGTCACAAACCCTCAAAGTACACCCTGTAGCGAGTAAAACTCTAAAACAGAAAATACCTCCCCAAAACGCCTCGTTGGTGAAACGTCATCATGACGTCATCATCCATTTGATTCCTCCGGGTACGTGCTTCCGAAAGCACGTACCCGGAACTAAATGGGCCTTCAAGTCTTAATGAAACAGACTGACTCAGACGAGACTGAAATCTTACAGAGACATCTTTATGAAACTGTGTTTCATTAAGACTTGAAGGCCCATTTAGTTCCGGGTACGTGCTTTCGGNTAAGCCATGCTACTGATGCTGGACAGTTTTTCAGTGAGTGCACAATAAACGGCAACACTCATTAATGTAAATAAACAGCCAAATAATGGATCAACGCTCTCTGTCTAATATGTTCGCCAGCTGTTAGTGTTGTTGCATAGCAACCACGTCGCACTATGTTTTGTGCAGAAGGCAACGGAGGGACTATTTTATTTTGAACATCATTATTTACTAATAAAAACTATTTAAATTAGAGTGTGTATTTTTATTTCATATTGCCACACTTGGTAACCGTTTTATAAAAGCAATAGCTTACTTCAGGCCGTGATATGCTCATTATATCACAGCTAAGGAAGGGGGTTGTCGACCCTCCGATTCGCGTGGGGCCGAACCACGCCCCTTAGCTGTGATATAATGAGCAACGGCCTGTCGTGAGCTATTGCTTAAATAACTAAAGTAGTATTGATAATATAGTAACGTTACTGGCAGGACTGTATACTGATCCATAACAGAAACTAATGCGCAAGTATCAGCCGTATCTCGCGTTACCTAATGCATCTTCACACTACGGTGCTGTGTACCGGAGGGGAGACGCGAGATACGGCTGATACTTGACGATCTGGCGGAGAAAGGTTGTGGAGCCTCCGTTGATATGCCGTTGTAAATGGCTTGATGGAAAGCAGGTGTGTAGTCGGGGAGGGTGCACAGCTGATTGCAGCAGGTGAGTGGAGGTGGAGCCAGGAGTGACAGCCACCACGCCCACACAAACAATACAGACAGGGGGAAACAAACAAACACAAAAGGGAGACGGCTGGAGCAGTACAGCCACTACAGCGTTACCTAATGCAACTCCACATTACGTCTTACGGTGCCGTGTACCGGAGGGGAGAGAGAGCAGCGAAGGGGGGAGAGAGAGAGCAGCGAAGGGGGAGAGATGTAATACGTTTTCTTGATAAAGCTGTGGAGATGGAGTATGTGCTGCAGGGAGGTGGATGCACAACGCACCCAGTAACGAACGCTAGCTCCGGTCCTTTTCCCGTTAGGGAAACTGTGGACTCGATGCCCTGACAGGCTTGAGTTTGTGCAACCTGCACAAACACAAGCTCACCATGATTACAAATGGTGAAATGCAATGTAAAATTACCAAAAAAATACCAGCTCACTAAATCACAACCGCTCAAACCAACTACAAACTACTACCGCGGATTGGGCAGAGAACGAGTCCGAGAAAGTTAACTCCCCCATGTAATATGACGTGTTTGACGTATGACGTTAAAAAAAAGCAGTTTTTAGTAGCAGAGCTAAAAAACGGCTCCTTTTCCTCTGAATTCCTGCCCTTATGTCTTGTAAAACATATCAAATCCTGCATTAACATTTTGAATTGTAATTTTCAGGCAAGGTTAAGCATAAATGTAGTAAAATAAAAAACCTGCAAGTTGCTCTTTAAGCACCAGAAAAGCACAAGAATGGTTCTTGAACCGGTTTGGTTTATTGGCAGCTTGCAAACCACTTAAGAGTACTGGAGTTTGGTGCTGTTGCTTTGGTCTGGATCTGTGAGCTAACCACGCCCCGTTCATTTACATATAAGGAATGGAAAAGTGGCATTATGAAATACAAGTCCCCTGAAATAAATAAATGTGGCATTATGAAATACCAGTCACCTGAAATAAATAAATGTGTCATTATGAAATACAAGTCCCCTGAAATAAATAAATGTGTCATTATGAAATAAAAGTCTCTTGAAATAAATAAATGTGTGATTATGAAATAAAAGTCCCATGAAATAAATAAATGTGTATTTAAATGTTACATGTATACATATGTATTGCCTCATTTATTTATTTCAGAATGTATTTCATAGGCATATTTATATATATATGTATTTATTTAATTATTTATGTATTTATTTAATTTTGGCTTCAATGGCATTCCATACCAATCAGCATTCGGCCGGCCTGTGGAAGTCCCTCCCTACTCTGGCACCATCATACGTAATTTGTTTTCTCTAACGTTTCTTCAGATATAGCGGAAAACCATAATGTTGCTTCCTAGTTGTTTGTATGGGAGCACGGCTCCCATACAAACAACCTTGATACTTTCAATATTGCAAGCTAAACACTTTCTCATGTAACTTTTCCCTTCGTTCCTGTCCTCCCCATCAAAACTTGGGGGAGGTGATTGGGTCTATTTATTCCAAAGTCACAGCCACATAAATGAGCACAATAAGCTTATAATGTAATCATAAGAATCAGTCTTTCTAATGTTATATACAAATAGACTCCACAGACACAAACACTGAAGCTGCAGAGAGTTAATCCTCATCAACTCTGCAGATAAACTAAGTTTACACTGAAGCTGCAGAGAGTTAATCCTCATCAACTCTGCAGATAAACTAAGTTTAGAGACTGCAACATGTGTACACTCAGAAATAGAAACACTAAAGCGTACCTGCACTGGAGTATGCAGTAGCTCAGGTGATAGAGAAGCTGCTCCGCTGTAATGGTTGACGGTCCCATGTTTCATTTTAACCATCAAAGCATGCAGGTCATTCCTTAAAAATTCACAAATGAAGGATATCATGGTCACAAATGAAAAGCCAGAAAAAAACATAGTGATGTTATTAAACTAAAATAAGAGATAACTAATTGAAAACCTTTAATATAATATTTTAAGTTTATCTATGCATCAAATGATCTGACAAAAGTTTGCCCACCCTGAATTTAAAGTTTAATAGAATTATTAAGGTAAATTAGCCTTGGAAGTACCACATTTTCTGGAGGTTGCGAGTTAAAACTCTCCTGGGCTGTGTTTTCATTTGCTTCGACAAACCTCAGAGGACAGTTTCATAAAGATGTCTCTGTAAGATTTCAGTCTCGTATGAGTCAGTCTGTTTCATTAAGACTTGAAATGATGACTCATATTTCAGTTCGAATGTATCAGGATTGCAGAGGAGAAAAACTTAATTCAATTTTAAGACTTCTTTAAAAAGAAGACTAAATATTAAAGGGATTTAAAGGTGGGGTATGTAATTTATTTCAGAAACACTATTCCATGGAATGCTCTTAACGTCCCGATAGCAATGAATATATGAAATGCTTTGACCATAAATACAAAAAATGAATATGTGGAAGCCGTGTGTGGTGTCTAGACATTTGTGTTAAGTTAATTTATTTAGTTCAGTCCTTTTGTCTTTTGCTTTGTCTTGTGATTTCCTGTTTTATTTTGTAGTAACCATTCCCTCTCGTTTCAGAGCATTCCTGCCCTTGTGTGTTTTTCCCTCCAGTGTGATTGTCAGCCCCTCCCTTAATTGTTAACACTGATCATAATTCCATTGTTGAGGTATACTAAAATAAAAAAATACTGTGCAATTTTCCAAACTAACATTGGTTTCGCATACAGCATCTCTGTAAACTATGTGTATTCAGCAGTATTCACTTTCTCCACTAAACGGCTTGCTGCAGCTCCTCCCCCCACATTGGTTTTGCATACAGCATCTCTGTAAAGTATGTGTATTCAGCAGTATTCACTTTCTCCACTAAACGGCTCACTGCAGCCCCCTCCCCCCCCTCCTCCGTGATTTCCTTGTTTAGCGATACACAGCCAAACTCAACCTGAATACACACAAAGTCACAGCCGAAATAAAAACAATAAGTGTGGCTTGATATTGCGTAAGAAAAAGGTTTATAGGTTGATAAACCCTGTGAGAATGGGTCTGCAGAGAGAATTTCGCGCGATCCCAACTGTCTGTTATCAGCCTGCAGCCAGGGAGGAGAGATCAGCAGGGCTGCCTGCACTGAGTGTGTGTGTGTGTGTGTGTGTGGATTGGTCAATTTGGACCAATCAGCGGGGGCATAACGTAACGGCTCTGCGGACGTAACGTAACGGCTCCACGGATTGGCCCATTTTGAGGAATCAAATGGATGATGACGAATCAAATGGATGATGACGTCATGATGACGTTTCACCAACGAGGCGTTTTGGGGAGGTATTTTCTGTTTTAGAGTTTTACTCGCTACAGGGTGTACTTTGAGGGTTTTGACTCTGCAGACCGTTTACATGCAGAAAAACCTTCATAACACACAAGGGGACGGGTAATAACCGGAAAAGCATGACATGTGACNCGAAGACCATGAACAGATCAGAGATGGAGAGGAGGAGGAGGAGGAGGAGGAGGAGGAGGAGAAGGAGGAAAAGATGGCAGCTCCAGCACAGCAAAGTCAGGGCATTCCAGCGGCAGAAGAGGAGGAGGAGAAAGAGGAAGAGGAGCACCACAGGGAGGTGAACCACATTCTGCCCATTCCTGATGTGCCAATCCGCACCAGCACCGCCGCCGCTCAGGGAACTCACTCAGAGGCTGAACACCACAGTTTGCTGCAGGACTACAACTCACACAGGGCCAGTCCCCCCCGGAACTACAACTCCCACAGTCCCCTCAACAAGTACGACTCTCACAAACCCAGCCCGCCTCAGAGCTACAAGCAGAGCCCTCCTCTGAGCTTCAGCTCGCACAGGGCCAGTCCACTGGAGGACTTCTTTCCCAACCTCAGAGGCCAGAACTTTAAGATCCACAAAGCCGGCTCCTCCGTCTCCCCTGACGTCATCGAGGTGCGCTCAGACAGGTCCGAGAGGGACTTCGATGACGTGGACGGGGACGACGAGCTCGACGATGACAGCCTATCACAGCGCTCCACCGTGACGGACGAGTCGGAGATGTTCGACATAACACGAGGGAACTTGGGCCTGCTGGAGCAGGCCATCGCCCTGAAGGCAGAGCAGGTGAAGCCCTCCGGGCCCAGAGATCTGCTCCGAGCCCCGGACATCCTCCACCAGCGCTACTTCACCATGGACGACAGGCCCAAGCACCTGGACATCATCCGCAAGAGCTACTTCTGCAAAGGTAGGCCAGAGCTGCTGCAATAGGTGTGCAATAAATCAGGGACATTACGCCCACTTTATTTATGTCTTGTAATGTAAGCATCACATGGCAGTGCTGCTGCAAGCAGGGTCGTGACCTTGATGGTGAATTCAAAAACACTCTAAGACAGGAGACTCACCTCCTGATAGAAGTTGGAAGAAAACTTGAGAAACAATTAAAGAAAGAGTGAATTGTTCTTTTCTTGCAATAAAGGCAATTTAGGCAATGTTCTTAACAGGATTTATACCCATTTGGTGTCCGTCCACTATTTCTAAAGATAGAGCCAGAAGACCATTGTTATTAAATGTTATTTTATCTTTATAGAACAAGGAGCATGCATACAATTACATTTTTTCTTAAAAAGGAAGACAGATATATGACAGATAATAGCTAAAAGCTCATTTCCATCTGCCGTCTTCGGACAGGTATACACGTAATAATCAACAAACAATCAACATTTCCTATAAGACTAACAATTAAAACAGATCAAAATATAGATGTATAAAACATAAATACTAGTACATTTGTCAATTTAACTGTAACTTTACAATCCATCTAAACTCAATTCATCTAATCTCAAATTACAGTAAAAATAATGTTGGCAAGACTGGTGGCCCAGTATCCATATCTTTGCACTACTGTAAAAAGATTAGCTTAGCTTAGCATCAAGACTGAAAGCAGGGGAAACAGCTAGCCTGCCTTAATCAGACTCAATAACAACAATTATGCCACACATTTGGTCACACAATGTTCTGAACCAGCAAAAAGTGTCACATGCTGAAAATACATTTGGATTGAGTATACAAATAAACACGTTGGACCAAATAAACAGCGGTGAGTCACAGAGCTGTGTTTAGATCTCCATTGTGATGTGGATGAAGTGGTTCCAGCTGAATAGACTAACAAAGAGAAGGTGCTTAAAGGTGACCTATCATGCAAAATGCACTTTTGTACTTCTTTTATACATGAATATGTGTCCCCGGTGTTCCAGGGAACTCACCAAGTGTCAGAAAACACAACCCTCTCTATTTTCCTCCATACCCAAATCTCTTAAAAAGGGGCTGCAACGGATCTGATACAGACTGATCGATCTGATACAGACTGATCCAGATTTGAACACTTCTATGACGTCACAGAAGTGGCGCTCCGGCTATTGGGCCAACTCCACCAATCAGGAGGAGACAGCCACGGACATTGCCGTTCGAATGCGCTGTAGTACATATGCCAGGCCTGTAGATGGTGCTGTTCTCACAGAATCAGCCCATGCAAAGACAGTGTTAAATTGAGCGACATTTCGCTCAATTTAACACTGTCTTTGCATGGGCTGATTCTGTGAGAACAGCACCATCTACAGGCCTGGCATATGTACTACAGCGCATTCGAACGGCAATGTCNCCAAACCGGGCTATGGCCCGTTAGATAGATATGGTCATAGTCACGTGCCGAGCGCCTAGTTCATTACCTCACTGGGCTGTCATTTTATTTGTATAGAGAAATTGGATGACAAATCCAATCAAACTCTCAATTAATTTATCGAGTGCACGAACTTAAGATTGGACTTTCACACACCAAAAAAAAGGCGAGTGGCGACGTACGACTAGTACGTTTCGACGGCCGAGCTGAGCAGTCGTCGTCGACTAAGAGGAGAAGAGGGGCAGCTAACTGAAAAAGTGAGCGCAAATAAGGTATAGCTAGTCATAGGTCGCATCAAAATACTCGATTACTTAGTACTGATGGAACGAATAATTTTGCTAGTGGCACTGATTTGTGAGGCTTCATGGCCCGAGCTAAATACTGGATGGCCCCGGGCCATCGGGCAGTCCTTAATGTCGAGCCCTGCACACACAGGACAGATATCAGCTGTCTGGACAGGACCGATAGCCAGACAGACTGAGAGGCTCAGTGAGGTGAAGGACTGACTGTTTAGATAGTTCACTTTAGTCTAAGTTAAAGGGTCTCAAACGGTTTGTTAACAATTTATGTAAACAAATATTTCCAAGGCAACCTTTATAATTATTGGGATGAATAAAAACAGGTTTGAAATCATTCCAGTGCATACTATAGGACAGTAAACCAGAAATATTGTTTAAATCTGGAGAGATTAAAGAATATACATAAATAAATAAATGTTAACTGGTAAAATAAGAAATAAATGAACAACAAAAATAAAAGAAGTTACATTTACTTGTTATTGGCTATGTTAGGTTATTGGTTATGTCCACATAATTATTTGATTATTAACATGTAAACCGATCTTTTCGATATGGGTGTTTAGAGTTGTACCCCTTAGATCTAGTCTCTGGCAATTCAGCTCAAAGTGCACCAGATTGAAGCATTTTACTTTATAATGTTGAAAAAAAATCTTCCCCTCTGACCCCCCTAGAGGATGTGATCCCCACAGCACCCCCCATTTGAAACATATTCCCACGGCTATGCAAATGTATCAAGCGTAACAGTGCCAGATTTAGCTTTGAGCTAATTTCCATCCGCAGTCCCTCACTAAGATCAAATCTGAATTATTTTGTGTTGTGTGGAGTTTGGTTGACAAACAACAACATTTGAAGACAACACCTTGGGCTCTGGGAAGAATTGTTGGCATTTTCCCCACACTTATTTAGACCTTCCATATACGTCGACAAATCAATCGAAACTTAACATTGTTTTATTTTATTTACTCGTTATTTCCGCCCTGTTTTATACAGGACTACAATTCAAAGTTATTTTAATTCCCAAAGTTCAAGGTGACGTCATTAAATGCCTTGTTTTGCTGGACCAAATGTACAAAACCCAAAGATGTTCAATTTTAAATTATCTTTTGAAAAGCAAAGCAACAACCCTCATATTTGATTAATTGAGAAGTTGAAACCAAAGACTGAAACATTAACGTTAACAGCTGATTTAGTACACTATTCTTTACTACTTTACTACTTTATATACAGTAAATCATTGTGAATCATACGCTTTATACCAAGATGTATTGTTGTACAAAGTATATAGCCCACATCATTCAATCTGTCCTATTAAATACACTGCTTTAAATGAATAAAAAGTGAATGAAAGTCCTCTTACCGCTGTTGGCTGCAGCCGAGGCAGCACAGGCTCCGACCAGAAGCAACAGCAACGTTTTTGGACACATTGAAAAGATGTTGATGCTGAGATAATGAAGCCTCAAAAACAGGAGATAAAATATTGAATATCGGTAATCTGCGTTTAGGTGTTTCTCTTGCCTCCTCCGGTGTGTTTCTGCGGCTCCTCAGCACCAGAGAGTGACACAGAGCTGCAACCCGCCCACAGTCCGCAGGTTCTTCAGCAGAGACATTCCTCTGCTCTGAGGTCAGCTTCCCGGCACACAGCAGCAGACACATCCAAGGCGATTATCCAAATGACCCATAAAAAAGACCAACCATTGGCTTTGAATAGGGAACCTTTTTTTAATGCGATAGAAACCAGTGTGGCTGCAAAAAATAACAACACAATGGATTCTTGAGAATTCATCCAATCACTCTTCACTTTAGTCTGACAGTGCAACATACCATTTATGTAATCCGATGTTGCCACAAAAAGATAATTAATTACGGTTATAATGAGGTATTTACTATTAAATAGCTTTTTTCAAAACGTTAAAGTGGATAAGTGCTTCACAATAAGAGCATCATAAGCAGCATAACTAACTACAAAAAGAAAACATCAACAACAACAAAAAGGCAACCAAGTGAATTTTGTTTTTAGATTTTATTCCAACAAATTCTCTGTCTTCATCTTAAATCACAATCAAGTTTATTGGTTTACAAGTGATTTGCTTTGGTGTCTGGTGCAGAAAAAGCCCTGATCTCAGAACATCCAATGCAAATCCAAACCATGCTTGACAAAATAAAGACTTACAATTAAACACTTTAATTCCAAAATATACTTTTAAGTAGTTAGTACATTTTAGGTAAAAAGAAAATCTAATGCAATGTTCCTGTAGATTTACATGTATTTTTGTCTATACTTAGCAGAGGTGTTGTTGGAGGCATCAGTGACTCTCCACCTCGTGTGAGTATGTTTTCTTAGTTGAATTACACTTTACTGTTTTATGTAAAGTTTAAAAAAAGTGTTTTGCATTAAAACTCAGGTTTATTACACATAAAAAGACATCTATTAGAAAACAGAAGCTAGCAGGAACTGAATTGGGCTCACACCAGGATAGAAGTATGTAGCCTATTGTATCGATATGATTTCCATGGTGTTGTTTCTGAGTATCAGAATACAGAGCTGAAGTAATTTGTTAAAGTCTGTGTGAGATCCAAACATCCACCCACACACTTTCAAGGGACAAAGGAGGACAGCATGTCTGAGGAGAATCCCTGGAGATGCTAAAGTAGGCCTACTTCCTGTTCGCAGCCATACTTCAAATTAGATAAAGAGTACATTACAGAAAAAGCCATTTTTAGAGCACATACTATTTGTGGATGATGAGCACAGTTTGTTCGACCCTTTGTGATTATTTTTGTTACAACAAAACATTCCTTTAAAATGTGTGTATCACAGTGATCACCACTTTGAACAGAAACCAGCTGTGGCGTCTTTTCCTTTTTTAGACTTAAACTATTTGTTTACTTGCTTATGTAAACGTTCAGTCTCTAATGGCCTCTTCTCCAGAAAAACGCACATGGTAACTATTTACATGTTAGCAAATGGCAAGAGAGTTCCCACTGCTTCTGGTACAGATTAAACAAGCTGAAGCCTTACAAGCATTTACCTTCAGAAAAATGGGGGACAGAGAAAGTGTGTATTAGAAATGAAGAGAAATGTGCTGGGTACTTTCTCTGAAGGGCCAATGACGGGGCAGGATGGGGTGGGATTCGTCTGACTCACTCATCCTGAGCTTTGTATCCACCGGGACTTGATATCTGAGCTCACAGACAGACAGACTAAACCCATTTCCTCACAAAAATATTTGTCACAATGATCTGTTCTCATTTTTCAAACAACTTCTATAACGCGCAGACGGCACAGTTAACTCCAATTGAGATATCAGATTATTTTATGCTTGTCTATACGTTTTATTTTAATGCTTGTTTATATGGAGTTTAGTTTGCCAGTTTTGGACATGAGCTTATTCACTTACTAAGAGATGAGGAGATGGTTATATGTGAAGCTCGGGGCCAAGAGCTGATTAACTTAACTTCTCATACAGACTGTAAATATGGAGGAACTGTCAGCCTTGCAAGCCCAAAAATAGAAAACATATACCAGCACCTCTAAAGAACACTGATTAGCATGCTATATCCTTCCTGTCGTCCAGTTATCACTAAGAGTTTGCAAGGCCTATACGTCGAGGCACGATTAAGCCACCGATCCAAGCCTTTGACTTCAGGAAATAGTCTGACATACTGTATATAGGTGCCATAACCAGTAACTTGCTGTTGTTATTCTCTTCTTTTTGTGCAGATTAGTGACCTTTGAAGGTCCTGGTATACATGTTGTTACCTGAAAAGAGACCGGTTAGCTGTTGTCAGTCTTAATACTAAACTAAGTTAAGCTAACTAAGTGCTTGCTGTAGCTTCATGAGATAAAAGATTCATGTACACAAACTGTTATCAATCTTCTTATTTACACATCAAGCACTTATTGAGCAAAACCATTTATTTAGAGACATATGTGTGTCCATCTAACAAATATAACAGTTTTAGCTCTGCTGTTGGACTCATCCGAGAAAGATATTATACTTTACAGCTGCTAAATATTCCATTATTTCTCTTTAAATGTAATAATAATGTGTTTCTTATGCACTAGGTCTTAATGATTGTTTTAACAAAACCCCCTGAGTTGCTTTTTTGTTGAAATATGCCATATAAATAAACTTGCCTCGCTTCGCCTTGCCTTGCCTATATTTTACCAGCTGGTAGCTAAACTGTTTTCAGGAGTTTGAAGCTGGGCAGGAAGTGTACTGTGTTTATCTGAGCTTTTTCTTTTAGCCTTAGATAGCCATAAACAACGCTATGGGAGCTGTGGGAGTAAACCAAAATAGTAGAGCAATAAAAAACCAAAAGAATTAGAGCAGAGGGAAACTGCATGGAGCATTTGATTTGCTAATAAGATCTGAATTCATCACCCTAAACAACCCTGTTTGTATAGAAATATTCATTATAGCCATTTTTTATTATTTCATCAGAGAGTGCAGCTGGACATGGTGTCCACTTTGGAGGATATGTTGTTCGTGCAGCCTGGGCGGGTCTAAACTAACATGAGAGCATTCCGGCTCAGAGGAGGAGGCAGGATACAGACTGTGGGAGATTAGGTCCAAAGTGAAGTCAGTGGCAAAGCTCCAAGCCAGTGTGATTCCTGTTGTTTACTGTCTTCTCTTTGGCACATTGTATTGCTCTCTGGGCATAGTCCAGTCCAAACGGGCTCTGAATTCAACTGCTGGGGAAAGGGACATACAAAAACAAGGAGGTGAACAATGAGGCAAGCACAGAGGATGTTATGCCAAGGCAAAGTTGAACCTCTCAGTGGGTCAACACAACAGGAATCCTTAAATCCACAAAATCTATGGCTGACGTAAATGTTATTTTTCTTTAATACATTCCTTAGAGGAAAAGAAAACACAAAGACATTCAGACAGGGAGAGTGAGAGAAAGAGAGCGAGGTATTCTGACTTTCTGAGTTTAC